AACAACGAGAAAGAACAACACCAACTGCTTTGAGAGAGCCAAGTACAGCAAGGAACACAGAGAACAGGCAATGTCACGTACCTGATGGGAGACTGAGTTGACGAGGTCGGCCTCACTTGTGTCCCTAGCCCTGACCCCACTGAGGTTGGAACAGGGGGAGTCTAGGGACCAGGGGGACAAGAGCGCCAGGAGTTGCTTGTGGCTCTTGCAGATGATGGCCTTGGTAGACTGAGTATCCACTGATTTAGGGCACAGTAGCAATAGAGCAGGCAGGTACTGTGGATTGCCGGATGTGCAGCAGAGCAAGGTTGGTAGCCAGGAACAGGACTGGAGCAGGGTCAGACAAGCCAGTGTCATAAACAGTCGGGTAGCGCAGTAACGAGTCAGAAGAGAAAGCCAAGGTCAGGAGCAGAGCCGAAGTCAGGAACCAGGAGCAGGAGAGCAATCGGAGTCGGGTCAGGAACAAGCCAGGTGAGCATCAAAGGGAACGTCAGGAACTAGCAGGACACGGGGGGACCTGTAAGACCAGTCAGCACTGAATCAGCACAGAGGTGCTCTTTAAATAGCCCACCCGGCGTCGAACAGGCGCGCCTGGGTCCTAGTACCTGCCCGGCGCTGTCATCGGTGACAGGTGCGCCTGGGTCCTAGTGCCCGCCTGCCCGTATGCCTTGTCGGAATCCTGCGCATGTGCAAATTCATGCACTGCGGCGATCTTCTCATTCCCTGATAGGCAAGCATATTCAAGGTACTTACAGTGGGCTGGAGGTGAGGGGGGCTCCTGGTGGGGCTGGGGCTGCTCTTCCTCCTCCTCCTCCCATGCAGACAACAAGGCAGAAACAAACAACAAGAAAGAACAACACCAACCCCTTTGAGAGAGCCAAGTAGAACAGGGAACACAGAGAACAGGCAAGCACATTCAAGGCACTTACAGTGGGCCTGAGGCAAGGTGGCCTCCTCCTTGTGGTGGTCCTCCTCCTCCCCCTCCGCAAACATGGCTGGTGCTACAGAAACAACAAGAAAGAACACAACAAACACATTGCAGACATGAAAATTCCATAATGCACACAGAGAACAGGCAATCACATTGAAGGCACTTATGGTGGCCCTCCTCTTCTTCACTATCTTGATCTACAGAAAGAATAACACAGAATTTTAAAATTAGCAACCTAAAAACATGTCAGAAGTTTACTCAATTCTCACAAACCTGTGTGCCAAAGCTAAGGCCACAGGGCTGAATGACAACTGTCCATTTCCTGGGGTCAGGCCACACATACAGGTACAATTACATTCATGTCCCTAATTTGTTGTGTTTTAACTTGGGATGTGCATCCGCTGGGGCAGACTGCATTCTTTTCCCCAGCTTTGTACACTGCACTACAGCAGATAACAACTCATGGTAGCAGGATGATTTGTTCAGCTTGGTGATCTTGTATTTGCTATGCAATGACATGATCACAATGTCAATTCATATATTAGGAACTCTTGGAAGTCCTAATGTGATTAGACCACACTTATCACATGGTATTTGGACCAATCACAGCACCCTGTACAATGTGATTAGCTGTAGACTATCCCAGATCACCAGAAAGGCCAGATGGCAGTAATGTAAGCAAGTCCGGACAATGTTAAACATTTCTGTTAAAGTGATCCTCAATGTAAGGACAAGCCAAGATTAGGACATCCCCCCCCTCAAAACCCCCCCAAAAAAAAAAAACTGATTTCCCCTCTCTCTAATACAGTATTCATTTGTTAATACTAATGTACTATGCATTGTGGAATATTTCCACTGTTCTGTCATTTTATGGGGCCTCCTCAAATAAGATTGGCTGTCAGTACATCATGGAGTTGCATTTTTGGCAGAAATATCCCATAATTTGTATACTCTGCAACTTACAAACAGCATAAATAATATACACGTATTGTAATTTAATGGTTCAAAACAAGTCCAATTCTGTAAATTTTTCCAAACAAATATTATGACTGAGATTTTGATGGGATATGTTTTTGAACATCCAAGCTTGTATGCCAAAATGTTTGTATGCCAAAATCTCTAATCCCAAAAAACAGCCATTGGGGATCAACTGGCACCAAAGACAGCTCTGTTATTGATTAACAAATGGTTACTATGTAATTTGCAAACAATGTGGCATTAATGTACAATTGACAGTAACTCTAGATCAGTGGGGAGATGCCAACAATGGCAAAGTCATAAGGTTCAAGCTTCCAGAGCTTGTGCTTACCTTCCACAATCTGCAGCCTGCGTGGGGGATGCCCCCACCCATGCCAGGCGATATTGAAGGAGAGCTGTCTTCCGGTGTGGCTTCTTCGCCAAGCAGACCATTGCCTGGCACCTATCTTCTGTGGCTAGAACACAACAAAGACAACATTATTGCATAACAAATTAGGAATACATGTAGCAAAGCGTTTTTTCACAGTACAGAAGATTTGGATTTTTTTACCATCTTGACTTATCAGGGATTCGGCGGGCAACTTTTTTGAAAAAGTTGGGGTTCCGCCGCTTCACATCACTCCAAGTGTGCTTGATTTTGAGCACAGTTGTGCGATGCTGGAAACGCTGCCAGAGCCGCTGTTTGATGTGGCGCAGGATGGTCTGCTTGGCGAAGGTAGACAAGCCAGCATCATATTTACAGAGGAAGAGGATCTGTGGTTGACAAAAAAAGGGCTAATCAAACATACAAAGATGCAAAATATGCCACGTCAAGCTGGGGATAATTGTCCCAAAAGGCAAGCCAAAACATTACATATATCTAGAACCCTCTCTGTCTGTGTGTGTGTGTGTAAATTGTATTGTCATTTACAATGCATTCTCACCTGAGCAATTGTTGGCAGAATTGCACAATTCTTGCTGCAATTCCAAATTGTGCTAAAATGGTCTTAAAATACGTGGTGTGCTTTTGGGTGCCATTCATTGTTAATAGCACCCCAAATGCTGTTAGCAGACATGCATTTTGCTGCACATTTTGGCATTTAACAAATATGTTAGCCACACACCTAAATGAGCATTGAAAAAATACACAACACTCCATGCCCAAAAAAGGTTCTGTTTTGCTTTTTTGGGCCTTTTGTGGTGCGGTTTTTAAACAACATTTTTGCTGCTTTCCCAGCACATATTTTTCTTAAAAAGTAAGTTGAAATTTTTATGTGCATTTTGGTGCTTTTGGAACATGTATTTTGGCTCATTTTGTACCAGCATTTTTGTGTGTGTTTCGGCAACGCATGCAAAATGCATGTCATGTTTGACATTATTTTGTTAATGTCACCCCAAAGTGGCTAGCAGATGTGAAGTTTGCCAAAATATGCCTAAAAAACCAAATCAAAATGCACTTTTAAAAAATGCCAAAATACATGCTAAAGAAAACCAAAATGCATGTTAAAATAACCTGTGCCAAAATGTGTGTTTGTAAAAGCACCAAAATGCACATTAAATAAACAGTCAAAATGCATGTTAAAATAACCGGTGCCAAAATCTGCGCTACAGTGCCTAAGGCTAGGTTCACACCTATGCAGGTTGCGTTGGAGCTGTCTCTGCATTGTGTTTTGCGTTGTGTTTTTGCACTTGTGTTTTTGATGCTTTTTAAAAAAAATTTTATTGTTCTTGTTGCAGATTTAAACTGCCAAAACACAGCAAAAATTAAATACATGCTTTTCTGCAGCGTTTCCATTTAAGTCTTTAGAACCAAAAATGCAACATTTTGCGTTAAAAAAAAAGTCCTGACCCTTTCCAAAAAATGCCCCAGGTGAATATGCACAGGTGTGAACATGTCCCATAGGAAATCATCTTAAATGTACTGTACTGCGTTTCTGCCACACGCTGCTGAAAATGTGGTGTGGACCTAGGGTAAATGTTTGTTTAGAAAACTATCAAAATGCATGTTAAAAATATACAGCATGTTAAACAGTGGCAAAATGCACGTAAATAATGCTAAAAATGCACAATAAAAAGGAGCAAAAATACACATTCAGCCTGGGTTCACGTATATGCGGTGTGTGGTATATCGCATGTGATTTGCACAGGAATTGCACTGCATTCCTGTGCAAATCACATACGATTTGTGTGCAGTGCAATTGGAGCCATACATTTGCCATGGCTCAAATTGCACCGCATCTGCACCAAAAAGGTGCATGACTCTTTTTTTGGGTCCGCACATGAGTGTGAATACCCATACAATCTGATTCTGCACATAGCACTGCATTTTGTGGACCGTTTTCGGGGTGTTGTTAACTTAACACACACACCCGCAGCAGGTGGCATGAACGGGGTGCGATTGTGATGCGGTACGGCACAGAAAACGCTGCAAATTCCACACCGCATAAGTGTGAACTCAGAATGTGCCAAAATGTGCCTTAAAAATATCAGTGGTCGGTGCTTATTATTTTCATGTAATGGTCTTTGTGACTTTGGTTTCACTGTTTTAACTCAGGTGATCTGTAATCACAATTGTCTCAGGAGATCACATGCAGCCCCTCCCCTTACTACACAGATCTCAGCTGTTCTCAGAGAAAAAACTTCTCCTCTCTTCTTCTTCTGAGAACAAATGTCCTCCACCTCATAAACAGGGGGACAGAGGAGAAGACTTCTCCTTGAGAACTGAAAAGAGATCAATTATCTCTGCTTAACTTCTTGCCGACCGCGCATAGCCGAATGACGGCTTCACCGCGGCCGGCCAGTTCTGAGTGGACGTCATATGACGTCCTCCCAGAACGCGCTCTCCTGCGCGCCCCAGGGGGCGCGCACCCGGCGATCTCCGTGATCGCTGTGTCCTACGGACACAGCTGATCACGTGATGTGGTGAAAGGCCGATCCCACCGGCCTTTTACCACGTGATCAGCGGTGTCCAATGACACGCTGATCACAGGGAAATGCAAGTGCCGGTTCTCGGCTGCACTTTCCTCACGCTGTCAGATCGTGAGGAAAGTACTGCCGAGAACCGGCAGTTGTCACAGCGGGGATCGGCACCGATCATCAGGGCACTGATAATCAGTGCCCTGATGATCGGTGCCCAGCAGTGACACCCGCAAGTTCCGCCCAGCAGTGCGCCCACTAGCCCCGCCCACCCGTTCCCAGCAGTGCCCCCACCTGTGCCCAGCAGTGCCCACACCTGTGCCCAGCAGTGCCCCCACCTGTGCCACTCTGCAGTGCCACCTACCTGTGCCCAGAAGTGCCACCTACATGTGCCCAGCAGTGCCACCCACCTGTGCCCACCCACCAGTGCCACCCACCTGTGCCTACCAGTGCCACCCACCTGTGCCCACCCACCAGTGCTGCCCACCAGTGCCACCCACCAGTGCAGCCCAGCAGTGCTGCCAGTCAGTGCCACCAGTCAGTGCCCAGGGGTTGTGCCAGTCAGTGCCGCCAGTCAGTGCCCAGAAGTGATGCCAGTCAGTGCCGTCTATCAGTACCCATCATCAGTGTCACCTATCAGTGCCGCCTATCAGTGCTGCATATCAGTGCCGCCTATCCGTGACCCCTAATTAGTGCTGTCTATCAGTGCCGCCTATCCGTGCCACCTCATTAGTACTGCCTATCAGTGCCCATCAGTGCCGCCTATCAGTGCCCATCAGTGCCGCCTCATCAACGCAAATCAGTGAAGGAGAAAAAATACCTGTTTGAAAAATTTTATAAAAGAAACAAATAAACTTTTTTTTTTTTAAATTTTTTGCACTTTTTTTAATTTATAGCGCAAAAAGTAAAGCGCCCAGTGGCGATTAAATACCACCAAAAGAAAGCTCTATTTGTGAGAAAAAAATGATCAAAATTTCATATGGGTACAATGTTGCATGATCGCGCAATTGTCAATCAAAGTGCGGCAGCGCTGAAAGCTGAAAATTGGCCTGGTAAGGAAGGGGGTATAAGTGCCTGGTAGGCAAGTGGTTAATAAACATACACCAATATTGCAAATGCAGTGTACTCTCAAACACATTGCACACCTAACGCATTTTAAACTAATGCACTGTTCACTCTAATGCATTTTACACTAAAACAGTAAACTGTGTTAGAGTGTACAATGCATTAGAGTACAATGCACTGTACACTAACTCATTGTACACCAACACATTGTAACACTCGGTACGCAGTATACATGTACATATATGCAAGGATTAAACATGAAGGCCTAGCTGCTGTGATGGTTAATATCAGTGACCCATCAATACCCACAAGCTAATGTGCAGATAAGCAGGAAGTAGCATGTGTATGCACATGTGCGCTAAGTGACATGCTGCTAGCCCTCCAAAAGCTGCCCATTACCTGTTAAACAAAAAAAAAGCATCAAACTATCACATAACCCCCCCACATGTTATGAACATAGTTGCAGTGGCCACACTTACTTTGCAAATGAGGATCAGCTCCTCAGTCGAAAACAGCAATCTTGCCATGTCCAGATGCGGTCTTGAAATCCACAAAAAGACAAATCAGAAATCGCCACTACACTCACCAACCACTCTCCCATCCACTAACATTCCCCACTACCACTTCCGGGTGCGTGTGAATGTCCTTCCGCAAACGTGATGATGTATTTCTGGTATGCGTTTATTTGTACACCATAGCAAGTTTTCTATGTGGCACCATTGAATATATAACTTTTCTCGAAAACATGTTTGCAGCTCCACTGTTAATTTGACATTGGCGAATATATGTTTGCCGATAAAGGCCCAAAGTCAACATAAATTGGGGGCCTCATTTATTACTGTTAAGAGGATTGTAGAAAAAGAATAGCTAGCTGCACATTGAACGCAGCCTATTTATTGGTACATAACATTGTCTTGTGGTGCAATAGGGTGCTTTTGGTTTGTTAGTTCGGACATACTTGCATATGTGCACTCTAACAAGCTAGATTTGGGCATATTATATAGGTAGCAAAAAAAATAAGTGTTAGGGGTGCTAGTCTATTGAACTTGAACATGAAATAACCCCCCCCCCAAAAAAAAATACATAGTCCAAACGTTTATTGATCAAATACATATTCCACATTTATTTGGACAGCAGCAACAAGTAGGTACAGTCAATTTCTTGGTGGGGAAAAAAGAAAGATTGATGTTGCTAAAATAGAACAGTGCTGCTCATAAGAGCTTACAATCTAAAAGATTATACCTTCTAATGAACACTGCTTTCACAGGTTACAGCAGGGCCATAAAATTAACACCTCCCACCTGCCCAAATCCCCCATACATACATTTCTGATCAGGTTTGTCCTAAAACTGCATTTCAGTCTAAATAAGCAAGCAAACTATAGCCAAGTGCAGATTTGGACGAGCAGAGCAATTGACATGTTAGGATTACAACGCAAAGATAATACACAAATTCTTCCTCCAGGACTTGCTGAAAATAACCCAGCCTATTACCAGTACAAACTACCCACTACAGCAGGCCTTTATATATACAAAATCTAAAGGAATGTGGTGCTACCAATATATCCCAAAAACACTAAAGTGAAAAAAGTGCCATTTTATAACAACCTTCATAAAAAAAATATATAGTATATAAAACATAGTATATAAATTCAGTGTATTAATAATAAAGTGAATAATTCTTAATGATAAAACCCATACATGAATATAATTATAATGATAAAAAACTGTGGTAATACGTGCAAATACAGTGCAAATACCACACTAAAATACAACCAAATAAATATAATGTGTACAAAATATCCGATAAGTGGGTGACACCACTACTGCAATTCCAAACACACATGACCATATAATAAAGTGACTCCAGGTGCAGAAACTCCAACACACGGCTAGATTTGCCTCTCACCTCCAGGCTTCGACCCATAAGGGTCAAAGCGTATAGTGGGATCAAACCCTCAGATCCTTTCAGCATATATTGGTGTCCACTGGTCCGCTCTCTCCCCATACTCAGATCTCCTTCTCTAGGGGTCGACAATCAAGCAGTGGGTCCTCTTATGGGATATGGGTATGTGCCAATAAAGACATAAACACAATCTCCCATAGTGTAGTAGGTTGATTTAATGAAGATCCAACAATGTACATAAAAGAGCAACTCACATAGATCCTCGAAAATGACAGCTTCACAACCCAATGCTTTAGAATGTACTCTGCATGGGTGTACAGGAATCAAAGGTGCACCAAGATGGCCACCACGCCGAAGTGCGTCACCACGTCAGGCCGACGCGTTGCGTCACAATGTCATGTGACTTCCTCAGGGCTGGCACTCAAAGTGACGAACTTCTCTTAAATGCAAGGTGTGATGCGATATGCTCCACCCAAGGCAGATCATGCACTCGCCCATAGACACACCCTGGTCTCCCACGGCCATATTACTGGAGACCACAGGGAGCAAATCGTTGCTCATTTGAGGGTTAAATAGAGATTTGTTCCGCAAGGTAGTGTGAGTAATATTATTGTTAGACACACTACCTACTACAGTCTTCACACGTGGAATACCCATAAAATACTTTTTAATATTGATTTTCCTAATAAATTTTTGTAAATCTACAAAAATATCAAATTTATTGGCTGTCTTAGGTGGGGCAAATTTCAGTCCCTTATCTAACACTACAGTTTCTTCCTTAGTAAGCTCAATACCACTAATGTTAAAGATACCTTCCCCCACTACTCTCTTTGCGGAACAAATCTCTATTTAACCCTCAAATGACCAACAATAGTCAAGTTGAAGTTTTCAAAAAAATGGTCAGTCAGGATTTAGAAACTCTCAAAATACCTAAGATACGGCAAAATATGACCCTTCGAACTGGAATAAAGAGTCTTAGTAGTAGAAATGATATAGTAATAAGGCCGGCAGATAAAGGAGGAGGGATTGTGGTTATGTCAAAGGAATATTACTTGGAAGAATTAGGGAGACAGTTAGAAGATAAGAGTACATATCAAATATTAAAGAAAGATCCCACATTGATGTATAAAAAAGAATTGGATATATTAGTTAACAATGGAACAGATAAAGATCTATTAAATAAGAAAGAAGCAAGGTATTTAGTACCAGATATATGTAGAACTCCTATTATATATACTATTCCCAAAATTCACAAAAACAAAAACAAACCCTCGGGACGCCCTATTGTAAATGGTATTGGTTCCCTATTAGCGCAATTAGGACAATATGTAGACTTTTTTCTACAGCCTCTGGTTAAAGATACTAAGTCCTTTTTAAGGGACACCAAACATCTCATACAACTGTTGGATGATTTAGAGGAGGATTGTAGTAATGTTATTATGACCACAGCAGATGTATCATCCTTATACACGATTATAGGCCATAAAGAAGGTATAGAGGCTACAACTTGGGGAATGCGGAAATATGGGAAATTAACAAAATCACAGAGGAAGTATATAACAGAGTGTCTTGAGTTTTGTTTGACACACAACTATTTCTGGCATAAGAATTCCTTTTATAATCAGATTAAAGGTGTAGCGATGGGGGTGCGTTTTGCCCCTAGTGTGGCTAATTTATTTATGGCGCATTGGGAGGAAGAAGCCATTTATTTTAATCCCCCGCGAGAACTAATCATGTATAAAAGATACATAGATGATGTGATCATATTATGGAGAGGTAAAGAAGAGGGCTTAGTTAATTTTTTAAATGTTTTAAATGATAATAATAAAAATACAAGTTTTACTTGGGAATACAATTATGATAAAATTAGCTTCTTAGATTTGAACATTAGGAAGGAAAAGGGGAGAATTATCACCAGCACTTTTTTAAAAAGTGTTGATAGAAACGGATATATTCCAACTGACAGTTGCCATTATCCCCTGTGCTTCTTAATGTACCTAAAGGCCAAATTATAAGACTAAGGAGAAATTGTACATTACAGGAAGACTATAATCACCAAATTAATGTTTTTAGGTCAGAGGTTTGTGGATAAGGGGTATTCTCAAACTATGATTAAATAAATTATCCAAGAAGTAGGAAACACAGATAGAAGTGTATGAAGGATAAGGATAAAATAGAGAACCATGAAGATAAATTGGTTATATGCTTGGATTATAGTATGCAATATAAAAAGGTGGAAGCTGTATTTAAGAAACATTGGCCACTTCTAAAAGCTGATCCGGTTCTAAGAGATTTATTATCAGAATTCCCTCTTTTTAGATATAGAAAGGCCCCTTCACTAAGAGATAAAGTAATTAGAAGTGTTCTGGACCCTCCAGTAAAGAATAGGAAAATGACCTTTTTAGATCAGAATGGCTTCTTTCCCTGTAAGGGATGTCATGCCTGTAAGGCCACAAAAAAAAAAATTTGAAAAGAAATAGTTTTGTGTCCTATGTGAGTGGTAAAGTGTTTAGTATTGATGAATTTATCTCCTGTAGAACAGAGGGAGTTGT